GCGGGGATGCCCCTTTTGCCTTAAAAAAAGAACGAGTTTTTTACCATCAATAATAGAGATTTTTAAGGGGTTAGATCGTGTAAATATAAATTTATCGTTAAACCCGCCACCACCCAGACGCAGCCAATTAGTAAGGTTTGTCACGTAAAAAAAAACGTGCCAATTAGTTACTCGTTCAGCACTAACCCGTTGTGTTGGAGAGTAAACCCACAACATTTACAATTCGAGTTCGGCGTTTCGCCGGTAATTACGACCAGCATCATCATCAGGCGACAGCCACCGGGTTTCTATTTTTCGTGGCGTAATTTTAAAGGACGTAAGAAAAAAATTCCTCGCCACGCCGCTCACCCAAAATTTGCCCCCCCCCCCCCCCATTGCCCTGGCGGAGGGATAAGCCAGCACCACCCACCAAAGACAAAGATCCCGTATAGCCTCAACAGACTGTTGGGGCAAGTGCTGTTAGCAAGCGGCAGCACCTACAAATGCCGGCACGGCATACGAGTGGATGGGGTGGCCGGCACCACACGCCCTGGCCGCCTTTGTCTCCCTTGTGGCGATGTTTACTGCACACCGCTTCCAGGTACTCATTTGAGGCTGAGTCGACCTAGGGGGAGGCCCAGGACCGATTCAGATAATCGTCACTGGGCGTTGGTGGCCGTGAGCGAGAATCGAACTCAGGCCGCCGGGTTCGTAGCGCAGCGCGCTAACCGCTGTACCGCCGCTCCCTCACCCGCCCACCGTGACTCCACCCCACCGCCACCCTCTCTCCACTGCTGGCCTTGACTCTGCTCCCTCCTCTGCCCTCCCCTCCTCTGTCCTCCACTACGCCTCCCATTCTCCCCCCTCCCCAGCCGCCCCCTTTCTCCACCCTGCCCCTACCCCTCCCCTCCCCTTGCTTACCCTCCCATCTCCTTCCCTGTGCCCTCTCTCGCCCGCTCCCCTCCTCCTCCTCCTCCACCCCTGCCCTCCCCTTCCCTGTGCTCCCAGCACCCCAAGCCACCACCTCTCTCTCAAAAAAAAAGAGAGAGAGGCCTTTGTTTTAACGGTCCGTGGAAAAAAAAGTGGGGGGGGAGGAATGAAATAAAGCGGAGAAATGCCACTGATTGAGACTTTCACAGTCGGCCCTCTGACACGCACTGCGTTGATTTTTCCAGAAAAAAAAAATTGTAATTTCGGGTAATTTTTTGTGTGTTATTTAATTATTACTACTATTATTATTTTAAGTAATTCTTTTTTTTCTCTCTCCCTTACACTTATTTCACTTGGCTGCCAAGTTGCTACAGGGAGACTCTGTGCGTGCTGTGATGCTCTTCGAGAGCAATACCCCGGGACTCGCTTTAACGCTATAGTGGGCTTTGTGTGTTTCTGTTTATGCACGCTATGTGTTTACACGTGTGTGTGTGTGTATGTGGGGAGCGATGGTGTAGCGGTTAGTGCGCTGCGTTACGAACCCAGCAATGCCAGTGTGACGATTATCTGAACCGGCTCTGGGCCTCCCCTAAGTCGACTCAGCCTTAAATGAGTACCTGGTGCGGTGTGTAAACATTGCTACTGGGTAGACAAAGGCGATCGGGCGTGATGCTGGCCACCCACCCCCTCGTGTGCCGTTCCGGCCTTCATAGGTGCTCACTAACAGAACTTGCCCTAACAGTGTGTTCAGGATGTGGGGAGTGGTGGGACAGTGGTTAGCGCCGCTGCGCTACGAACCTGGCGACGTGAGTTCGGTTCCCAATCACGACCGTGACGAATATAACCTCAAACGTTCCAGGGTCCTCCCTCCCCTAGGTCAACTCGGCCTTAAATGACTACCCGGTGCGATGTGTGTGTAACACGAGCAAAGGGGAGACAAAGGCGGCCTGGCGTGGCTCTGGCCATGCACTCCATCGTACGCCGTGCCGGCCTTCGTAGGTGCCCGCGAACAGCACTTGCCCCAAGTCTGTTAAAGGCTATACGGGTGAATCCTTGTCTGTGTACCTGTATGTACACAGACATATGTGAGTGTACAAATGTAACCGACCAGGTGGCCCCGTGAGTATCGATTCCTGGTCGGGCAGGGGTGGGGGTTGTCTCGGCACATCATCCCTCCAGGGTCGATCAAATATCCACCACTCTGTGTGGAGGTCAACAGTGGTTGGCCTATGGATAGGCTCGCCAACCCCCCCCCCCCCCTCCACCGTAGGAATGTGGAATATCCGTCAAGTTAGCTCCGGGCTATTCTATTCCTGCGCCTGGCAATATTTTCAAGAGATGAATGCCAATGAAGAGGTTTGCTAGCCAAGACGAGAGGGCTTCATGACAGCGTTCCTCCTCCATCGAAGGAGCACAGACCACAGTGGGTTTACTCTATGGGTCCTTAGTTTGCGTTGCATGGCCACAATCTCACTCCTGTGGCAAATCTTTAATGTATATGTTTGGGTCCTCTGTGTGTCCCTTTGTACCTCTGTGTATCTTTATGAGTGTCTGTATGTCTCTGTCTCCGTGGATGTTTATGGGTCTTTATGTATCTCTTTGGGTCTCTATGTGTTTACTATTTGGTCCATAGTTTAGGCTGCATGACCACAATCGCACGACTATGAAGGTGATGTGCAGCATCTCCTTAAAGGCGGTCACTGCATCGCGTGCTTTCAGATGCGCCTCTGCGGCCGTCTGGAACGCTCTTCCTTCCGATATTAGGAAGCCACTGGAGCTATGCGCTTTGAAATATAGATTGAAAACTCATTTCTTTACAACTGCTTTTTGTTTTGATTTAAAGCTTTCGTGACTGCAGTAATTCATAATCTTAGTTCTTTCGGTAAAGTCACGTTGAAAGGAAACAACAAAATAATACAATATATATAAAACAATAAAAAAAATTCGTCCTGAAGACGACCGTTTGTGTTATGGTCGAAACGTCGTGAGAATTTTTTTATTGTTTTATATATATTTTATTATTTTGTTGTTTCCCTTCAACGTGACTTTACCGAAAAAACTAAGATTATAACTGCTTTTTGTGTTCAGTTTGTTGTCCTTCCCCCCCCCGCCCGCCGCACCTCCTATTCGCACGGTTGTCTACGTACAGTGCGAAAGAAGTTCAACCTAAACAGCATCAGCCTCCTATTAATTTTCTGATGCTGTTGATGGTTCCACCAGTGTTTTCGAGGAGGAGGGAGGAGGAATCGCGATGTAATGCGATGTTTGAATGAGGTGTTGATTCTGGACGTCCGCGTTGTGCCACTCTGTTACGCCGGCGTTCTTGGGTGGGAGAGGGTGAGCCCCTTTCCCACGGTGACCCCCAGCTGTGTGGTGTGTTCATGTCGACCTGAACACAAACCCGACGCCGGCATCTTTGCCGACCATGGACGTCGTCAATCCGGAACCAGACGCGGTCGGTCGAGCTTGGGGGAGATGAGCGCCAAGTGCCTCGGTGCTCATTTTGAGCAGGAAATCACTTTGGCTTTTGACCTCTGAGAAATGTGACGGAGGAACTGTCTGCGATTTCAAAGCCTTTTTTTTTTGTTCTCTTTAAATCTCATTCACAAAGCTTTAAGCTCATAACGCGCAGCTTAGGTACTCGCACGAAAATCCCGCAGTGTATTTAAACGACGCGAAACATTTGCGTGAACGGACTGATGCATCGAATCGTCGACTTAATGCGTCGACTGATACGTATTCTTGAGCTGGCCATGCAAGCTTCACATCGCACGGAGAAGGAACCTCGTTTTCCATTCCGTGTACGTTCTATGGAACGGGTTCACACCGCTCCTGCAGCCACTAGAGGGGCTATCCATCGGAACCTTGAATCATTGCACCGATCGCCCCTTTAGTGTGTCATTTGCATCTTCGAGAGCTGGGCTGTAATCTGACTACTCAAGTCATCGACTCCTCGACCGACTAACGGTTCCGTTTGCCCGATTCGGCGGATAGCACGGAAATATTTGAAAAACAAAACACAAGTGTCCACCTCTTGTGCCGCTGGACGGGAGGTGACGAGCGGCGGGGGGAGGGGGGGGGCGGGTTGATGACGTTATTGGTGTCATCGGACTCTTCACGTTTCTCATTTTCGGGCGGCAGGATGTGGTGGTGGGGGAGATGGAGGGCGGCTGCAATTTTTAAGGGGCCAGAGTACTCCACCACGTAATTAACTCGCCTCCAAACAGATATGACTGCTGTTGTTTCCCGCATCACCGATTTAGCACGGCTGGCCACGTGTGGTGCGAAAGAAGTTCAAGCGTACATACGTTGTCAGAGACGAGTATGGAGGTAGCCTGCGGCAGTTTGAGAGTTGGGGGGGGGGGGGCGATGTTGCGATGTTACACACACGTATTGTTTTCAGCGAGCCATGATGCGTTGATCAGATGGTTTGACTCTATCGCACACGAACGACCGTATGCACCGGTTCAACATACATTCACATACGAAGCGCACGTTGGGCCAAAGTTTGAGGCCCGCTGCTGTCATATCTCGGGTGGAGTGTCCAGCTCCTACCTCCTGCACTCCATGGAACTCTGAGTAAAGCAGTGAGTTGGGGCGATTCACGATCGGTCACTCATCGATTCACTCCAGTCGCTCGCTCGCTCACTCACCGGGCAGTTGGTCACCTCCTGGTCACTCTCTTATCGCCACTACCGTGTCACCCCACCCTGCAAGTTGCAGGGTGGGGTGTCCCGTTCACCGCTGAATCTTGAAATGCACAAGCGGGCTCGACGTTCATTTTATTTAGAGAGTTGTAGCGCCATTGGTTTTAAAGACATTGTACCCACCGCAGAGAACCCGTAGCGACACGACAGCACTCCATGATAGATGGCGTCAAACTGTGCCACACGGCCTCCTACATGGCCTCGTGGGAGTCTTGGTACCGATAAAGTTATTTTACTTGTTCTTCCAGCTTCATTCCGATGACGTACATCATCAGAACGGGAATAGGGTTAGTCGAGTTGACCGACTGACCATCGCGGCTCCCATCTCAATCGTGTCGAGAAAGAAAAAAGTTCAAACCCAAACCCATGTGCCGCGTTCACCAGGGTGGCGGCGTGGGAAACAGCCGGGTTGTGCCGGCGTCGCCACCTCCGCGAGAGGACCCGGTCCCCACGGCGGAGCGGGACACGCTAATGGAGTGGAGCCCCGGACACGCACGCACCACGGAGGAAACCCGCGGCAGCCCCACCGCGGAGGTGAGGGCACTTCCAGGGGGAGAAACCACGGGCTCCCACACGCAAGGGATTTGCCAACTTCCTTATATCCTCGCTCTCCATCATTCCCTCGCTCTTCCTTCCTCTCTCTCTAAATCTCTCCTTCATTTTTCTCTCCCTTTTCCATACCGTGCCAAAGTCTTCGTCCTTCACTCTGGTTTAGTCACTATTGGGAGATGAAGCCTCCTGCAGCCAGGCTCTACTACAGAGATGGAGCGATGCAATTGGCTCGTGTGCAGTAGCTGAGATGGATTTTCGCATCGCGTGACATTGAGAAATCGCATCAGCTTGCGGGGGGCCTTCATCCAGCAGTGGATAATCGACGTTGCCGTGGTGATTTATTTTCACGCCTCCGACGCGCGCAGGCGAGACGCGGTTCCCCTCGCGGAGGCCTGGACGCGGAGCGAGCCCCACGGTGGAGCTCTGCCGCGGAGCCACGGTCGTGCGGGGACGTGGAGCTCAAGATGCAGCACCTGCTGGTCGGCCGCTGGTCCCCGGACGGCAGAGGCTCCGTGGTGGAGGTTCCGTCGGCAGAGAACGGCTCCGACCAGCCCACGCCGTTCGACGCCGGCGGCGCCAGCGGTGGCGGAAGCAACGGAGGAGGCGGTGATCCGCGCAAGCGAGTGTTCCACCCCGATTCTTCTTCGGAGGAGGAGGAGGGCGCCTACTCAGCCTCCGAGGCCAAGAGAAGGAGTCCTCCTCTTCCTCCTCCTACTCTTCCTCTGTCACCACGCCTCCGCTCCTTCAGGAACCCCAGGGCGGAAGAGAAAGACGGTTGCGGGCTGCCGAGCCCTGTCGCGGAGGAGCGGTGGCGCACCGTTGCGGGAGGAGGCCTCCTCGCGGAGGAGCTGGGAGGCAGAGGTCCCGTTGCAGAGGAGCGGTGGCCGCGTGGCAGGGTTCTAGTTGTAGAGGAGCATGCGGACGGAGGTGTCGTCGCGGAGGAGCGGTGGCCACACGCCAGAGAGCTCCTCGCGGAGGAGCCTGGGGACGGAGGTCCCGTCGCGGAGGAGCGGTGGCCACACGCCAGAGAGCTCCTCGCGGAGCAGCCCGGGGACGAAGGTCCCGTCGCGGAGGAACGGTGGCCGCGTGGCAGAGGTCGCGTCGTGGAGGAGCCAGCGGAAGGAGGCGTCGTCGCGGACGAGCGAGCCGACGATGGGAACTCCGCCGCCGCTGCCGCGGCCGCTGTTGCTGCTGCTGGCACTGTGTCAGGAACTCCGGAACGTCGCAAAACCTGCCTCGCCGATGTGGTCGACTCGTTAAAGCAGCGCAAGCTGGAGGCTCTGTCCAGGTCGGAGCAAGATGGTGAGCGTGCACACCCCGCTGTAGAGCATCGCTCTTCTGGTTATTTTTTGCGTTTTTCCAGCTGAGGTTGAAAAACAAACAACTTAAAATGCCAATCGGAATATCGGTCGCGAGAGGCTACATGTGGGGAAAATGCGCAAACGATGAATCGTAATGGTCTAGAGCATTGGCTCTCAGAGCTACATGGCGCCACCGGTTGGGAGATGTTAACTACCTCGCCTGATATACAGGAGTTCATCGGTTCGATCCCAATCCTGACGCCTGCTGTATATTTGGAGTTTGCTTGTCTCTCTCTCCCCGTGGTCGCGTGGATTTTTATCCGGGTCCTCCCGTTTTTCCCTCCACATTTAGAATCAAAATGCGTTTTAAGTATTTGGCTGATATACATTTCCACATCATGATAAGCCACTTAGTTGAGCTACCATTTGTGGCCAGGTCGCTTCTGAATAAAAGCTATAAAGTTCAGTGGGCCTTACCTGGTAAAATAAAAATTGTTATATAGTTAGTACATCTCTTCTCTGAAAGTAAGAAAAAATGCATATGCTGTTTCGACTGCCATGCGATATTCATTTCTTCATTGCAGGGTGGGTGGGAAATTGCAGCGCCCCAAGTGTAGATAAAAAGGTCGCTAAGAAATTGAACTAATAAGAAAGTGGTTCTGCGACATCCGCTTCTGTGGGCCGTTCTCTAACGCACGGGGGGGGGGAAGAACGGTCACCTTGTCTCTGGTGATGAGAGGAAAGAAGAATATTTGTTAAAGTTCATATGAATATGAATAAAAGTGCAAATGTTTGTTCGTCTGTGGTTACCACGAGGTAGGTTGCCCAGCGTCTGAGCAGAGGGCCGTGCCGATGAAGGTGAAGTCGTTTGTTCCTTTGGCGCCAGCTGGAGACGTCCAGGAGCAGCTGCAGGGTGAGTGCAGTGCAGAGTCACAGCCGCGCACGACCTCCGTCAGCCGGTGGTCGGTCATAAGCTTTTCTTTTTTATTTCAAAGAAATCGCCAAAGCCAGGAAACGACTATTACCGCCCGGGATAAGCCTTTTAATGTAATCGTTTAAAATTAGAAGATCTCTCTTCCCCCCCCCCCTCCCCATTTTTAAAGAGGCACGGTCATAATGATCTTCGAGAAGATGGCCCTCCATCGTGCCGTATGCTCCCAAAGATATAACACTCTTATTTATTTTATAGCGTCCTTTTTGAAGCGTTTTGTAAACCCATGGATATTGTATCGTTGTTGAAATTGCTTTAGAAGTGCGGAGAACATGGTGCGTAACGTTCTTTAATTATCCATAATAATCCACGAAAGCCTCGCTGAGTCTCAAGACTCATTTTCAGGAACGGTCCTGCACCAGTACGTTTGGCCAAATGCTTTTTGTGATCCACCAACCCTGCTTTCTGGCGCGTAGATCGCATCCGTGCGCCGCCTCCTTGCTCTGCATCATTATTAAAACTGCTTGAACAATGCAGAGTATACAGTTACAACGTCCTTTCATTTACCCATGGCTTGAGCTGATGTGGATATAAAGATGTGCTATGACGATTCGGCCATTCCCGAGCAACGTCACCTATTGTGCAGTGGACATTGTGTTGTTGACAAAGGTGTTCAAGTATTTTATTAGCACTTTCCCGATCGATCACTCACCGATTCACTCCAGTGCCGCACGGAATCGGAAGACAAACCGATGACGTACGCATACGTGCGTGTACGTGCGCGTAGGTCATCCAAATGGGGAAGGGTTAACACAAAGCATGATGTAGTTCCGTCCGGCGTTGGGTAAGATGCCAAATTGGCTCGAATAATGGCGGCGCAGTGTGACATGGGGTTGGGGGGGGCACAGACAAAAACCCCCGACGAGAGAGTCAGTGGCCTCAACTGTGACTCGACCTCGCCGTCGGAATGTCATGGAACGGTGACATTGGCCGGGTGAACACGAACGCCATTTTGAGAAACGAAAACATATTTTCGTGTGAGAATGCATCGAGTTACCCACCGCTCGGGGTTACAACCAAATCCTTTGATGGCCTCCTCGCATCACCATTTCGAGTCGATCTGCTTATTTTTTTCCACTCAATACTAAACTTTGATTCTCATTACATACACACGTTTTTGTTCCATTCCACAGGACGAGTGTGTGTGTTTGCTAGTCCAAAACTTGTATAGTTTGTCGTGATTTTTATTATCTGTAATTATAATTATTACGTGCAACTTTTTAGAGTTTCATCATTCATACCGTACAGCTTCATTGGCCTTTTCAATATGAGGGTTGTTTAACGTTTGCCAATTCTTATCATTGGAGGTTGATAAAAGATGGAGATTTAGAATGGGCCTCTGTTCTGTCTCCACATATACATAAAAAAATATGTTTAAGTCCATCAACCTATTGGCTTTCACACACCAATATTATCCAGCGGTATTTGTTCGAGCAAGCAAAGTGTGGACTGGTTTTGACATCCTGGGTCACATCAGCAAAATCAGGATTCTCAAACAAATGCTGCCACCAGTTTGCCCTATATTATTGGCAAGAGCACTCCACCCAAACCATCGGACCTTGTACAACGGAACAACAAAAAAGCAACGCTGAGTTTGTATATGAAAGAGAGACGGATCACTGAACCGTTGTGTGTGGAATGGTAGCGGCCGTCGACTGGCGACTCGTGCAGCGTCGTCACAGCTGCCCAAAGCATTCTGGGTCATTTCCAAGATGGCGGCCAGCAGCTTGTCCAGTTTTGTGTGGGGGGGGGGGAGTTTGTATCGCATGGAAGTGTGAACACAGCTGATTCTCTTTACAAGGGGCTGTAACCGGTTCAACGATGTGCGTGTTTTTTTTTTATAAGCGTCCCGAAAAAGATTTTCAAATGAACGTAACTACGAGAGGGTTTGAAAGCGGATGTCCTAAGTTGGCCATGTGCTTGTCCCAAATAATTCCACGCTTTTGGCACCGAAGCACTGCATCGCTGACGGGACAACCGCGTATTCCTAATCTCCAGGTTATTTTAAAGCAAAAGTTGGAGAGGTGCGTCTTTGAATTTGGTAGCTGTGTACGTGTATAACTCCATTATCATTTTAGTAACGGACACAAATTTGGAGGGCAACCAAAGCATCTATACGATCTTGAGAATCTGGTGCCTATAGCAGAGAGAAACACCTTTGAAAAAAAATGTACATTTAATTCACTTCTATGTACTTAATTTGAACTTTTGTGCGGAAAACAATAGCAGTTGCCCTATGGATAGACTCACCCCCACCAGAGGAATGAGGAATTACCACCACTGGTTCAGGACTGTGAATGGAAGGTGAGAACTGCTTTCCGTGATCGTTTGAGAAAAAAAAATCCCAAATATTTTAACTTTTTTTTCGTTAACCTTGAACGATCCTCGAATAAAGGTGCCGCTGAGAATCCAAACTCTGTGATCTTATTGTCCACTGACATTGGGTGGTCTTAGGAATGAAAGCGCGTTTGTCGTTTTATCACCCTTAATTCCAATGGGCTTCTCCACGTCCAAACAGTGCCGTTTCGCAGCCCCTAATTTTAACATTCCTGCCGGAGCTTTGGCGAGCACCTGTCACAAAGATGCGACTGTTGGCGTGACTTTTTCACTTTTATTATTTTAAGTCTCGCTCACTCGCTCAGTCTCGCTCTCTCACTCGATCTGCTTTCTTGCCATAGAACGCTCCCCCTGTATGCGCAAAAGCCTCGCCCGTCTGGTCCGCGATAAGCGCCGCGACTATGAATAGCGAGAAGGCCTTTACTGTATGCAATTCGATACATCACGCGCGGACTAATGAAACGCAACACTCGTTTCTCTGCGACGAGGCGTAACATCGCAAACAGGCGCGCGCCACCAACGCCGCCGCCGCCACCACCACCTGCTAAAATAATGCGGCTCCTGGCTTGCGCCCCTCTGCTGAGCCGAGCGCTTTTTTAAACAAACCAAGCTGGGACCTTTCTGAGGTTTGTTTGCGACGTGTGGGGGGACGTTGGCCAGTGTGGCGGTGGTGGCGGTGGTCAAAAGTAAAAGCGAATTTTTTCGGTGCCCCTCTGCTGTTTACAGCCCCTGTGGTGGAAATTCCACATTCCCCTGTCAGGGGATAGACCATCAATACCACAGCTACTGTTGATTTCCCTACAGCGAACGGTGCTCATTTTATCGACCCCAAAGGGATGATGGGGTTGAGTCAACCCCACCTCCCCCAAACCCTCCAAACCTGCATTTGCAATTGCAACCATTCGATTACGTGCCGCTCACCCTATGGCAGGTCCGATTAGCACGGGGTTGGCTACGTACGGTGCGAAAGAAGTTCAATGTACAGAGTTAGCTGCAGCCACCCGGCCGAAGTGGTGGTGGTGGTGGTGAGGAACGTGGTGGTGGGGAGGGCTGTCTGTTTGATGAGATGCGTGGTTATCTCTTAAGATGCCATCCCCGTTCGCCGTTGATGGAGAATATAATACGCACAATAGGCGTCCGGTTTCACGCCGTCTATTTTTGCAACGCGCCCACGGTGCGAGAGTATCCGTAGCGCTTTTCAATTAACCGTCCGCTGTTGAGTCGACGGTGGGGGTTTCCTACGGAGGGCCCACTGGAAGAGGCTGTCATGGGAATGTGGAATTTCCCCATCGCTGGCCTTGTAAGGAATTGCCAATGGAGAACGCCGAAAGTTGTTTTTGAGTCGGCAGACGTTCCCGGCTTTTGATTGAATGTCGCGCGGTGCAACAACAACTCCACCGGTGCCGTTGCATAAACGGTGTCGGATACACGCGGACGATCGAGGCTGGCCCGTGTCAATTCTCACGATGTTCTAAGTTGGGGGAGGGGGGGCTAGATTGCTGGAATTTGCCACAGATATAGCCGAGTCTATGCTTCCAACAAGACCTATACGAGAAACATGTTTAGTTAGTTTGTTCGTTTAATTATATGGGCCTCTGAAAATGGCATCCTGGAGATTGCTTATTTTGACCACTCCAGAAGGGTTAGGCTAATGTTTTAACTTGCTCAAGTTTTCCCCCATCGTTCGTTTATTTTGTTTTGCCAGGTGAACTTCTTTCGTACTGTACGTAGTCAACAGTGCTAATCGGAGGTGCAGGTGAAGGACAACAAACTAAACACAAAAAGCCAGTTCTAAAGAAATTCGTTTTCAACGTAGATGATTCTCAAAGTGCATAGCTCCAGTGGCTTCCGAATATCGGAAAGAGAGCATTCGAGAAGGCCGTAGAAGCGCATCTGAAAGCGTGCGATGCGGTGACCGTCTTTGTTCGATGGTTAACCAAAAGCCGCTGCTGCTGCAAGTTCGCGTGATGGTTTATACTCCTTTACGAGATCAGCAAGGTATTGTGGTTCATTTGTGGCGAGCTCTTTGTGTGTAATGAGGGTTAAATGTTAAATACGTATGTGGACTCCTCCAACAGCACCAGTAGGGCTGCTGTGATAGCTTTCTTTTTTTTATTTGCTTAGCTCTGTCGGGTGGATGAGGGTACACGACACACATTTACATTTTTATCACTCGGCGATCTCGCCCACAATCGTCATTTATGAAACAATCGTTCGGTAATAATGCAGGGCCGATCGCCGTGTGTCGAACATCATCGGCCGTTGTTGCTTTGCATTTTAAGTTGCTGAATTTCTTCTCTTCGATTCCCGTTACGCCTTCAGCCACTGCCCTCGGTGGCCACACACTCTGCTGTGTTTACCGGCTGTGTACCTGCCACGGATGCCTCCAGTTGTTTCGCGACCTTCGTGGATGTGTTTTTTTTTCTGCTTCGCGAATGCATTTAACTTGAGCCCAACATCGCCGCACCTCCGGTGAGTGTGCAAAAGAAGTTCAGCGCGCTTACGGTAACATGAATTCGCGTACACGTTCTTCAAGGCATTTACCTTTCGATAATTTCCCGTTGGTCGTTATTTAGAACAATTGA